ATTGACGAACTAAGTCAAGTACACCCGTTTCGTTGAAACGGGTATAATTTTTAAATACCCTTTTAAATTATAAAGTACACACATTGAGCCACAGGTTGAAAAAAACGGGTCGATCGCTCTGGATTATTATTGTTCTTGGCATCCTTTTTTATCCTAGACAAATCTTGCAAGTTTTATTTGAACGAAAACAGTGTTGGCCGAACGATGACAGGCTGCAACTCACAGAGATTTCGTTAGAAAAAAACATTTAGAATTCGTGGAGGTCTCCGTAGCACTCCTCCACATGGACAACGCCTTGGCGTCGAGGGGTTATCAGATGTGTGCCCAACCTAATACTGCAGTACAATTCGGTGCCAAATGCAACAAAGCACCAAGGCTGCTTGAAGCAGAACCTCAACTTCACTGTAAATGTCTATTAATACTGTAATAGACATTGTCTATTGCTCCCCATCAAGTTGACGCAGCCACCGTAACTATTAATATGACCGTATGTTCCCAGACCTCCGACTAAAAGCCAACCCTTTTCTGAGATTCACTCCAGAACCTTTATCGATATGATTAGTACATAGCCTCTGCAAAAATCTTAAATTTTGCTGCGATCATTTCAATACCAAGACGTGCTAGTCGCCCTGTTTGCGCACATACGTGATGATGCATGCATCAGAAGAGGTCCGGCTCCTCATTGGCGCATCCCTGCGTTTTCGCTGCCCTCGAAGCTCAACATCCTCATTTCTCAAAAGCCGCTGGGCAGCTCAAGTTGGCATTTACTATCAAAGCGTTATTTGAGGACATGACACCCTCCGCACCCGAAAAAAGCCTCAATCGCTGCTCGTCCTCGTTCCAGATGCGCTCGCTGCGTCCAGTGTCCGCCAAGATCATCTCGTATGGCCGCGAGAACCAATCACACCGTCGCCCCACTCTCTACGTACTTCGAGTGAGCCGCAGCGGCGCCCCAGACTGGTATGTGGCCAAGCGCTACTCGGAGTTCCGCGCACTACACGAAGCGTTGCAGCGTCAATGCAACGGCAACGGCAGTAAGCAACACGCGAGTTGTAGCGCATGCGAAGAGCTCGAGAGTTTTTACAGTAGCGTGCGCTTCCCTGATCGTCACATCTTGCAGTCTGGTCTGGGCATCTCCAAGAAACGACTGGATGCCACGAGAATGGAAGAACTGGACAGCTATATGCGTTTCCTATTAGTCAATACACAGGGTCTCATAGGAGATGAAGAGGATGAAGACGAGTCGCCCGAATGGGACGACAACGAAGGCTCCAGGTGTCTCGCGCTGGAATTGATACGCGAGTTTCTCATGGTGAATGAGGACCACACAACGACAGAGTCGGAAGCCAAACCGCAACAGGATGGAGAGAACACTAAAGACAGAAGAGCAGCTGCGGGTGTGACGTCGGCTGCTGTCGTGCCCAGACGGCAGCTGCACCGGCTAACGAGGAGGAGCTCATCCGTCACCAGTTTCCACGTGCGGGAGCTGGATCTCGTGTCAGCCGAGAAGAAGAGCTCTCCCACGGGCGACTCAATGCGCAATCTCTTCTCTGAGGAGTGGTGGGACCCCTCCTTTGCGGACGTGTTCGAGGAATGTGCGGCACCTCCAGAGGACGCTTTCATCCACCGTCAGGTTGAGGATGCACCCGCTCGCACTCATCCGTTGCGTCTCATTGAGGGATTCCCTCGTCGCTAGATGGGAAAAGGATGATAAAGGGTGTGGCCCTCAAGCGCGACGGAGCCAGACAGGGACGGCCCTGAATTATTGTAGTTTTTTTTGCAATCCTACCGTTAAGAAATAACCCGCACATAGGTACATGTAATACAACACCTTAGCTACCCATTTCTCTGCGTCCCCCTTGTTAACGTTCTGTAGTCCGACAACAGGACTGTATCACTAGCAAGATCAGAATCGGCTGAGCGCATATCGTAAACGTCGCGTGTCGTCGCCAACAGTTACGCATTATGGCAAACGAAGCACCTCGGTATAATAAACACCATTGCGGCAACGTGCCGTGGGCATCGACTGGGCAGTGCCCAGTGGGCACGCCAGACTATCTTTCTTGCCCCATCTCGAGGGAGCCATCGGCTAGCTCAGATTTAACCACGCTATCGGTAGGACTCCTAAACATTAAAACTTTTCGGTGCTCCTACTAGGAGCACCGGGAAGTTTTAACATCTTCCGTTTGTGCTCAATTGCCCATACTGGCTGTGTACATGTACATGTATGGCCAACAGCAGCTATAATAATGTTATCACGACGCGCTGTTAGTTAATAGTAATGCACGTTTTCTTCTAGGCGTATTAATCCAAGCTTGATTAAAAAGAAGAATGCAAGCAGCAAGATCTCCACACTTTAATCAGATGATAATTTCGCTTTAAGAGGTCTTCGCTTTTTACAGTACTTTTTTTTGAAAAACTGAAACTTATTTTTCTGAAACTGATGTCCCAGGAGCTCAGTTTTATTAATGGAGAGCTTTACACTGCGCGACAGATCACATCGGACACCCACTTAGAGTGCTCTAGCGCCGTCAATACTGCGAGTTAGGTCATACTATTTAGATATATGCGAGTTGTTGACAGTAGGAAAGGCCTAGTAGCGCTAACGAGCGCAGATTCGGCCGCTGAGGGGGACCTCCAATACAGCTTTCCACTTTCAGCTCCACGACAGATCAGATCGGACAGTACAGACTATACAAAAATCAAGTATATTTTTTTCCTTAGTAAGTCGTTCTATCTCCTTTCTCGGCAACAACCGCTGTGACTGCAGCAAAGCGAGAGGGATGGAATTCCAAGCTTCGAATAGGGCTTCTTTCAGACCACACACCTTGTCGAATTGCTTACCGTTCCTGTAAACGCGCCGGCTCATTATTGACCATAGGTTTTCAATAGGATTTAAGTCGGGTGACTTAGACGGCCAGTCGAGCACCTTGACTTCCTGGTCCGCAAAAAAGTCCTTAGTGCGGGCTGAGGTGTGGATGCTGGCATTATCTTGCTGGAAGATATAGTCTAGACCGTAGTTGGCATGTGCATAGGGAAGCAAAACCTCGGACAACGTGTACACATAGTCGTCCGAGTTTTGCTTCCCATTCAAAATTACCAGCTGAGACTTTCCCCGCCCACTAAATGCAGCCCAAACCATTACCGATCCTCCCCCTGCTTGCCTTCTCTTGGTCCTTCGGAGAGGTCGGCGTAAGTCCCTCCAATATTGCTGAAAGCCGTCGGGCCCATCGAGGTTCCATTTCTCCTCATCAGAGAAGAAATTGGAATCCCAATAGGACCCGGCGTCTTTAAGCAACAGCTTCTCCGTTGCCCACGTGAAGCGTGCGGCCATGTCTTCCGGCTTCAGCGGAAGCGTGTTAACCATTTTCGTGTAGACCAGCCAGTCGACCCTCAAGAGGACGCGCTGGATGGTCCTCACGTGCACGTCGAGGCCCAACTCGGCTTTCAACTGCGCCGCCGAGTGCTCGCCACGCGATGCAGTGCGCACAAGACGCCTGACCTCGCGGTCCGTCAGTGCTGGGGGCGCTCCGCTTCGCCTGGGGGGGCTTCGCGGTCTTGCGTGCCGCTTGGGAGCCAGTGCACGGCAGATGGTGTCGGGGCTGCGGCCGAGGCTGCGCGCGATGGCGCGCTTGGAGGCTGCAGGCTCAAAGAGGCCGTCAATCCTCCCCCTCTCTCGCTCGGTTAATGGAGGCTTCTTGGTCTTCGGCATCTTTTAGAATGAGCCATGCTCTCCACGCTCATGGCAGCCACCCACCAGGTACACGCGCTGCAGTCACAAATTTTCAGCTTTAAAATATACTTGATTTTTGTATAGTCTGTACTGTCCGATCTGATCTGTCGTGGAGCTGAAAGTGGAAAGTTGTATTGGAGGTCCCCCTCAGCGGCCGAATCTGCGCTCGTTAGCGCTACTAGGCTTTTCCTACTGTCAACAACTCGCATATATCTAAATAGTATGACCTAACTCGCAGTTTTGACGGCGCTAGAGCACTGTAAGTGGGTGTCCGATGTGATCTGTCGCGCAGTGTAGCTTGGGACCAACTAAGGGTTTTGGAGCGACATTTGTCCGAAAAAAGGATCATTTCCGATGGTCCAAAAATATATAAGGCGACCCTTCGTTATTGCACTGGTACTAAATATTGGAACATCCATTGGGAATCTATGCCCAAAAAATCGTTGTTCCAACGGCCAACAACTAAAGCTCTCTATAGAAAACTTACCAGCTCGACTCACTCCTAATACGAAAGGATATCACACGGTCAATATATTCTATTGGGTCTGTTTCTCGTTTCCGATACTCCGCACTGATTGGGCCATTGTGTGGTAGTTTCCACTTTGCTGGGAATGCTGGTGTGCTATTGCTTGCAAGTTTAGAAGTGAGTTTCCTTTGACTAGATTTCTATCGCTGTGTTCACTAGACTATTAGCTCCTACTGTAGCCAACCGTCCTCACACAGCCCTGAGCGTCGAGCAACAGTGACGCAGTGTGTGGCTGTAGCTTGATAGGCGTGATGTAGCTTGGGATGGTGTTCTTGATTCCAGATAGACTGCATGCCATTACTGCTTGCTGTACAAACACCTACACTGCCCTCCAAGAACACCACGCCATCGCAGCTGAAATATGTAGAAATGAATTTAGAAATCTCGATGCTTGATAAAATAGTACTCCGAATAGAAACCAATCACCATCTGATAGAAATCAGTCACGTATCCAAAATAGACAGTCCACCCCTGAGACGAGACCACTGTTACCGGTCAAGTTGCAGTTCAACACGTTGAAGTTGTCCCATATCTCAGCTCCCACGCGTCTTTAGGAGCTGGAACTTTCCTGCATTGACGAGGCAGCTTGTACAAGCTCGTAGTCACCGATTTCATCGATGTATGCAACCACACGGTCAGGTACATCACCTAAAAGTGTCTGTAAAGGCTCTTATGAGTCTTCTTCGTCCTGTAATACCAATCCAGGAGATCAACAGCTGCCAGGATTGCTGAACCTTGCGGTGCCCTTTGATCTTGTCGACTCCAAAGACCAAGCCTTGGTTTCCAACGTGCGCGAGTAGCTCCTCACTGATTCCAAGATTGCCATCGCGATAGAATTTCAAACGGAATACATGTACCATATTACGCTGGTTGCTTAGCAGGTGGCGGATCGTGTCTGAGTGGGTGTTCTTCCACAACTTCAAAAGGGCCCACCCAGCGCGCCAAAAGCTTGTTGACGGAAAGTCGAGAGTCAATTCTAGACCAGAGTACGAAATCTCCAATAGTGAAATTGCATGGTACTCCATTTGAGCGGTTCATGTTCTGGAGGCGGCGACGCTCGCGGATGTTCTCCACCTCCCTGTGCATTTCTTGGAGGCTACGCTGCATTTTCTCTACCATATCCGCAGGAATATCTGCAGACTCAGTAATCATCACTGCCTTGCCCTTGCGCTCGACTAGCACTGCCTCAAAAGGTGTAGGCCGAGGCAGTCCTGTGAAAAAAACATCGGGCGATCTGTTGCCTAGATACGCTACAGGCGTATGGTTGAGAATGCTTTGCACTGTTAACACGATATACTCCCACTCGTGCATGTCCAACTTCATCTCCATCAGTAGGACCCGTAGAACCTGTAGAATGTCCCGGTTGAGGCGCTCAATAGTGCCATGATCCACGGTGCGTACGCTAGAACGAGATCCTGCTCGATGCCAAGTTGTCTACACAGCAGCCGCATAACTTCGCTCTTAAAGTGGTTCCCTTGGTCCGAAATTAAAATTTGTGGTGGCCCGAAACGTTTTGACGAATCCACCAATCCACTTGTAGCCACTACACTTGTAGGTAAGTCGCAGGCAACGAGCTCACAAAAGTGTGTAAGACCATCTTTTACGACAAGTAGGTATTTGCACTTTCCCACACTGTCGCCTAGATACAGAAAGCCCCAGTGTAACATTTCATTCTGCTCAGTGGCATTGTATGTTGGTCCCTAAGGCCGTGGGATCACATTACCACCCTTCACGTGTTTGCATAACAAGCATCGCTTCAGAAACTGCCGGCAATGTTGTTCCAAGCTACTGATCAGGAAGACGCTCTTGATGGTCGTCAACATAGCGTCCAAGCCACGGTGTCCTTGACTCCCGCAGTGCACTACAATCAGGATGCGTTGCCGTAATTCCTTGGCCGCGTCTGGCACCCAGAGTTTGTTATCAGCCGTCATTGTACCATCTTCGTCAGTAGTCACGCTATCCGGAGCACTTCGCTTGTGTTTCTGCTGCAATTGTTTCAACTCCTCCAGAGTAGGAAAAACAAAACCACCTTGCCGTGGCCGGAGCTCATCAAGCTGATTGTTGGCATCATCCTCAAGTCGCTGCTGGCTACGGGTCATGAACTTGCACTTCACGTGCACCCCTTCCTCTCCTGAAGACGACGAACCCCAGCGAGACAAGAGGTCAGTCCAGACATTGGCCTCTCCGTCGATATGCTCGATACGGTACTGAAGTCCTGTAAGTGACAAGGCCCATCGCTGAAGTTTCCCACGGATGTGGCGCTTGACTTCATGTACCGGTGAGAACAAATACTATATATTCTTATGGTCACAAAAAAGTCGAAAGCCTGTCGAGCGAATAAGGAGATGACCGAGGTTACGTGCGGCCCAGATACTCGGGTACGCCTCCTTCTCAATAACGCTCCATCGGCGTTCCGTTGCGTCGAATATTCCACTCTTGCAGACCAGTAATTTGTGCTGCTGTTCATGTGCTAGCAAGTTCGAGTCCCAATTGTCCACCTGGGTCACCACGAGCCCCCAACCAAGGTCGCTTGCGTCGGTAAACAAGGAGACAATGGCTAAGTCCTTCGGAAAATGCAGTAGCTGTGACGATCCCCTAGCCGTCTTGAACACGTCCTCCTCATCCTGCGTCCATGTCAAATCCACACCTGCCGCCAACTTCTTAGTGCGGCCACTGACGGTCAAAATCGCCTCCAACTTGTCATGCAGAGGACGCACGACTCGCGCAAAATCCACGAGTGTATCCCGCATCCACCCTGCCGCGCACAAAAATTGTTGTAGATCAGCGGGCGTAGCAGGTAGTGACAGTTCCTGAAGGGCATTGCTGACACAAAATCCACGAGTGTATCCCGCATCCACCCTGCCGCGCACAAAAATTGTTGTAGATCAGCGGGCGTAGCAGGTAGTGACAGTTCCTGAAGGGCATTCCTTTTTTACTGACACTGTGTTTTAGTCGGTGGGGCGGCAGATCTCGAAGAACTGGCGGAGGGCTGTGATCAATGCTGCCGGGTCTTTCTCGTAGACTAGGATGTCATCGATCCACACTAGCAAGCGAGAATACAACATCTCGGCAAAGACACTCTGCATCTCGTTCTGAAAGTGGGTGGCTGGGTCACTTGCACCTTGTGGCACACGTTCTGGTGTCCACACGGTGTCGGTTGCTAAGAAACTCATCAGCTTTTGGCTGTCAGGATGAAGGGGTAGTTGCCAGAATCCCTTAGGCATATCGAAGTCGGCGAACCCATAAGCTCCTTCGGCTTCGTTGGCCGACTGCTGACCCTGCTATCGGCACAGTCAGAACATTGACAGGTCGGTAATCGATCGTCATACGGAACTCACCGGGCACTTTGGGTTTCGCCACTCGTACTGCTGCTCAAGCCCAGTGGCTTTGGTTGTTTTGCCGGATGAAGCCCATCCGCTCAAGGCGCTTCGTCTATTCTCGAAGCAAACTGCGCTGTGCTGGAGCGTATCGTCGCGAACGCGCACGGAAAGGCTCAGCACCTTCGACTAGCTTGATTCGTAGTGGTGCGATGTCTGCAGGAGGGTCGGCGCCGAGATCGATCCTAAAGATGTCTTCATACACAAGTACAGTGTCTCGGAGGTAATGCAAATAGCCCTGATCAAACCCGTTATTGCCGGCTGCATCCACCATGTCTTCTAACTTCTCTTGGATATCAATGATAGACAGATCTGCATCCGGGCAGTCTTCTCCCTCGAACGGGTAGACATCCTCTGGAAGTGCATTACCGACCAATTGTTCTAGTTGGTGATTGACATCAATCCCCAATGATACTAACGTGTCGTTGCCCAGAAGAAAATCAGACTCATTTCCTTCCATTATAAGGCATGTCACCTCTTGGAGACGGACAGTGCCTGCAGCGGTTTGTAGGACGATGTTGAGTGTCACAGAATCACGGCATGTCACCGTTGATCCTCCTGCAACAATTGCATCGACCGGTGTAGGTAACACCTGTTCCTGTACACCACCCCCAAGAGCTACTAGCTCGTCAACTGCAGTACGCGGTATGACGGTCGAGTCGGAACCAGAATCGGCGCAATACGGTAACACAATCAGCTCGTTCACCATCACTTCACCTGGTTGGGGTGTAATCCGGACCACCTTCACACGTGAACTGTCTTGCACTTTCTTCATCTTGTCCACTGCTCGACTGTTATATTCGGTCGTCGCAGTCGGGCAGTCTCGAAGCCAGTGTGAGCCTTGGCAGTGCCAACACCCTGTCTTCGGGGGAGCAGACCCCATCAGTCGAGGCTGCGGTGCATTATCTGGCTTCTTGTTGAAGCTCTGAGTCCCATTAGCTCGTTGCTCCGTCCTCCCCGACTTGGTCTTTACTTCAACATGGCTGGGTCTACGATTGGGAGCAGAATTGGCCTTTTGCTCCGTTGCCAGCAAATGATATTTATGCTGAGACCTCGCCTTCTCTTTGATGATGTTGAAGAGCATGAAGTCGTTCTTCTTGGCCTCTCTGCATTCGTATTTGCAATGGCGCTTGACATCATCACGAACCATCCTCGGTTCGAGGTTGTCAATCAAAATGCTACACCGCATTTTCGTGCGATCGGCAAATCCCTGTGCGCTATAATGGTGGCAAAATCCCGGTAGTATTTCAGCACTCGAGCGTCGATATCATCCTCGGCGAGATTTATCTTCAAATTCTTCTTAACGAGCTCGTCGAGATCAGGAATTTGCTCGTTCTTCACAGTGCCGATGCGTTGCTTGATCAGTATGAGGATTTCCTCATTACTGACATCGTCAACCGCTTTCCGTAGTTCATAGAGACATATCACCTCCAGTAACTTCCGGTGTATTGACGACTTCACAGGTTTCATCGCGGTTTCGGGACGCTCCTTGCTCTCAAAACAACGCAGCCGGATGGTCTCCTCGTACTGGTCACGTGCTTGTTTCCACTTGACCAGCGCGTCGTGACTCCAATCTTCGAGCCAAGGTGCCTTAATGAACTCGAATACTGGTTGGTGTGGCGACTGCATCACCACATCTCCATCTGCTTCATACTGCTGCTTGTTGCTCGCCATGCTCGCGGTCCCTGAGGACTAAAGTATACTTTGTGGTAGTTTCCGCTTTGCTGGGAATGCTGGTGTGCTATTGCTTGCAAGTTTAGAAGTGAGTTTCCTTTGACTAGACTCCTATCGCTGTGTTCACTAGACTATTAGCTCCTACTGTAGCCAACTGTCCTCACACAGCCCTGAGCGTCGAGCACCAGTGATGCAGTGTGTGGCTGTAGCTTGATAGGCGTGTTGTAGCTTGGGATGGTGTTCTTGATTCTAGATAGACTGCATGCCATTACTGCTTGCTGTACAAACACCTACACATTGAAGTCGCAAAGCCAATCGAATCAGTTAGGTACAATCGATGCAATCATGACCCACAGGCTGTGAGCCACCGATCACCAGCCTCACACGAAAAAGCCCACCTCTCCGATGGGATTCGAGCTTCGAGCCACAAAGTTTTAGATTGGAGTTTTCTTTTTGTTCGATAAGAATTATTATCACGAGTGACCTTATTAATTTGTGTGACTGGCCCGATAAAGAGGTGTGACAATATTAATACCACCGGTACATGAAATCTGCCCACACAAAGCGATGTTGTTGGCCGATTTTTTTTCGCTACTTGCTACCGCTAAACTTACGCTGCATGCGAAAGTTCGAGTAATCGGCAATGTGAAACGAAGACCATTAATGATTCCGAAGTCCAAGGCGAATGCTCTAACTATCTGTACAATGAAGCGCTTTCAGATTTGAACACCGCTAAAAACACCTTCAGAGGATGATTTTGATTCTTTCGTCGTCCGTGTCCTAAGCTCAATACTTGATCAACAAGTCTACGCCCACCCAAAATTAGCACAAGCGAACCTACCAACGTCAATATTTCAGACTGACCGGTTAGCCACTCAGAATACGGAAATGAGGAAAACCAATGTCGAATCTCGGTTCAGCTGCAGCAAAACTACTTTGGCGCTGATTGAATGGTTATCAACTATGTCGGCGACTTCTTTTGGTGTAGTTTGCTAAAATAGATTTGCAATACATGAAAGTCAGGCGATCAATCAAGCAAGCTTGGGCTCTGGATAAAATGTGTTACTACTAGTCATCCAATTACAATTAGAACTTAGAGGTTCGCAACTACTAAAATACTTCTCATTTGATTTAAAATTCAAACCCTCTCTCAAATGAGTTTTGAGAAACATGATATCCTGTCCTACATAATATTATTTTCGTCATAATTGAAATACGCTCTTTTTTTAACTTGATTCATACTGACACTCACAGTGCATAGCGAGGTATTATGAGTTACTTTGTCGTTTTAGTCGTTTTTGGTAATCCCGGAAAAAAGCACAGAAATTGCACCAGCCTGTATTATATCAATCTACTGTTAATGCGGTATTATAAGCCCGAAGCAGAAGCCCCCCCCTCTTAAAGGCATCGCAAATATGTACTGAGACAAGTTAAGCCGCCATAACTAGCCTTCAATTCAAAATCTTTACGCGAAGTCGATTTTGATGTCGTTGATAGCCATGTCGCTGTCTTCGTCGGCAGAATAAACTGCGATTATCATGTCGATAGGGATACACCTCGTCAACGTTCTCTTGCACCAGCAAGGATTTAGTGCCCCGCACTAAATTAGGTTATGTGAGGCCTGTCGTTCTGGCGCACTCTAGTCCCATTCTCGCATTTAGCAAGCGTCGCAGCTTTCGCAGTTGTTTTTTGGGCGCTGACGCGGAGCTTGCTCTTGCTCGTCACGAGCTCTACGGCCCTGAGTTTCGCCGCCGATCGGGGGCTCAAATAGTAGGGGGTTATAAAACAGAGAGGGGCTTATAATTCAGGTTTTTAGTATTTTGATCTGTACTTAAGTACTACAGTAGAAGTTTATAATTGCGAAGTCTTGAAAGAATATAGTTAGCTAAGCCCATACTCTAGTCCAGGAGATTAAGACGGTTTTCACAAAATGGACAGTTGAAATACCAATATTTTGGGCTTCGAACAATACACAGTCAGCAATTAGCGTGAAAATATGACAGGTGGACAGCTGCATTATCACAAAAAATATAATGTTACTCAAAGAGTTAAAAGGGTTAAAAGGGTCTTCTGGTAGCCAAAGGGTTAAAGCGGACCCGTAAGTTTCTTCTGGAACCCATTAGTCAGCTCATCAGCTGGTAGCTCGAAAAAAAATTACCCAGCCAAAACAGCAGGATTAAGCACGTGACGATTATCGCAAAATACGATCTTCTCTACGGTACCGGCATCCTCCGTTCTTTACTGACGCTCACTTATTACTGACAATCTTTTATAGCCAATCAAATATTAATTTTGAACCTCCACTTGTTACGGTCAACACAAAAATAGGCAACACACCTGACATTTCCCAAACTACAAGATGCTACCCTCGCGCAGACGCACCGCCATTACTGCTGCCGAGAAGCTCTCGGTGCTCGATGCATGGGAGCAGTGTGGTAATATTAATGCAGTCATAGAAGCTTTCTACAGCGGTCTACACCTTTGCCCGCCCATAGTTGGCACATCAACATCCAAAATCGGCAGCTTTAATTTTGGGCGTCAGCAACGTGCTCAACTTAAAAAACACCACCCTTTTTCCTCATTCAATGTCGACTTATCTACATTCAAAGTTGTCACTGCCGACGAGATTCCGACGAGGAACTCCCGCGCGCTCGAAGCCGCCCAAGCTTATGCGTGTGGCGCGTCTTAATCTTCACTCTCAATTCTACCGAGCATAGCGTAGATGCCTTCCCAGTCCACGCTCAAGCGCCACACGTCCGAGGAACGCCGCCGGGTCCTCGAGGCCAAGACTGGCGCGCGATCGCTTGCCACAACGGGTTCCCTCGCACCACCGCCCAGTATCTGGTAGACCACGGGCGGGCTGAGAACCTTCCTCGTGGAGGGGCAAGAGTTGCTAAGGTCACGCCAGAAATTTGGGAGGCTCTCCAGCTCCGGATGGAAGAGTGCTGCACGTACGCTTCGAGGACATGGTGTACGGCGAGTAGGTGGATCTGTAGGAAGAAGAGGAGTACAGCATGCAGACTTTGAGTATGGATTAGCCAGCTTTGATTGCACTAAGGAAAGTGGTACTGCTTAGTTCGGGTACCTCGCTCCGGCAAGAAATTAACCAAAATTAAAGCTGCCGACTTTGGATGTTGAATGTGCCAACAATGGGCGGGCAAAGGTGTAGACGATCATGCGCAGGAGCAGCGACGCAAGCTCCTGTACCAATGGCGACAGAAGTGCAATGGTATAGAACTGGCATGTGTGGACGCGTCAAAAAGAAGGCTCGCTCGAGTGGTACAGGTATGGCTCTTCCCACCGAAGCTGAGAAGGAGCTAGTTGAATGGGTAAATGAGTTGAAGGGGGAGGGTGTACCTATGATGCTTCTTGAATAGATTCATGTACATGTATACCGGTATTGCACTCTCTCGTATTTTACGAAGCGCGACGTACATCATCTTTTTTACACAATTATTGTTGCGAATTGTAATATTATATGACTGTCAGTAACAAGCGGAAGATGCCGGTACTTCACTTCAAAAGTTTAAAAGGTCGAGCAGTATGCAGTCGGTAGATGGTGCTCAGTGATGCCGTTGCTGCGGCAGCACCCCATGCGAGTGGGAAGAGTTTGGGGAGTGCATCGCAGAGAGCTGGTTTAGGATGCTGGTGGCTAGGCAGAGACATCGAGGCCCGCGGAACATGTATGCAGCTCTATCTCTACTTGAAGCCTGAAGCACTGGCTAAAGAGCCCACGCTTCAATTTCCAGTCTGCATCAGGACACATCTCACCCTAATAACTACACAATGGTGAGGTTTCTTATTGATCCATTTTCTGAATCTCTGGCAGCGTCGGCTCATCTATGTTTGTAATGGATCTGTTCTTTTTTAAGCCAAGCACGACCTGTTGCCGCCCTGTCTGAAGCGGCGATATCTTCTTCCAGCGCGGACCTAGCTGTGAGCGACTCTGATGTAAACGCATCTCGATAATGGAAGGGGGCGACGCACTCAACATGGTAGCCACGCAAGCACGCAGTGCACCCGTACGTTGACTTTTTAGATAGCCCCAGCAGCGAGCACAAATAGCAGGTTAGTTTTCCATTTGAGAGCTTTGTGGAATTTGGTGTCAATATGTGTCGGCTTGTGTCAGCACCAGCATTTGATTGTACAGCTCTCGATGAGGTGTTACCTGGCGCTTTCTTTGGACCAGGCGAAAGTGTGTTGCTGTCATTTGCTCAGCGACTCGTTGCTTAAATTTGTGCAGTGAAAGATGTTTACACTCAGCGAGGGCAATTTTTTTCATCAAGCAAAACGCGTTGATTAGCGATAGGTCCATCGCCCAGATAAATATGCTCATCTCCAACCGAGCTTCCTTTGGACGTATTGAAGTGGTACATCTTAACTGATCCACATGGTCAGCTGCATTCATGAATATGTAGAAAGCTATAGCCGCCGGTACGTTCATTATTTTGCGATGCAAGTTCTGTTCTTCCGCCCACCGACGAATTGGAGCGAGGCCGTGGCACAGCTCGATCGCCTCAGGTGACAATCCGCTCAGGACACGCTGAGAAGGAGTTCCGCTGGGGTCATTCGTGTGAAAGACCACAGGGTTTTTATCCAGAAAAATAGTGAATCCCACGTGGTCAGTTATTCTCATTGTAGAAGCAGATGTTGTTCTTTTTGCCAATGGTAGCTTCTTTTGGGCACGGCTATGAGCAGCTTGAGCCCTGCTCCAGTCATGCTCAACGTCGACGGCAGGTATAAGCTCCCAGCTTCCTCTCTCCGTAAGCTTTACACACTCAACAGGCAGCGCAATTTCTGACTCATTCCGCTTCCCATCTGATTTACCTTACACGTTCCAGCCATTCTAACTTCGCCATCCGTAACCGCCAGTACAGCCTTTGCCAGTTCGTGTCTAGTGTAGTAGTTATCGCAGACAATAAGACGGCAACCTGCTGGAGACTGATGTGTCAGCGTCATTTGTCCAAGCATTGCCATCCAGAGAGCTGAAGCCGAGCCCCGCCTCACCTCACCGATATATCTTCACGTGCTTGTGTCCTTGCTAGCGACCGTCGCAGCTCAGAAAACATGCCACAATAACGCTCCGCAGGGTTTCTAGACTCAGTGTTGCCAGATCCATTGTCGCTGATGGTATGGATATACAAGCTGTCCCATCCCACCATGGCATAGAGCATGATGCCATACTTGTCTGGCTTATAAGGCATGTAGGTTCTGGCTAGCGACCGTGCTTTCGTTCGCACGGTGTTCTCGTCAAGGCTAGCTGCACCTGTAGGGACCGCTATTTCCGCGAATTGGCCTTAGATATGGCGCAACAAGCCACGACTATGCCACAGAGGGTCCATCAGCTTGTACGATTCTGTAGCGCTGCTAGGTGCATGAAGCTGTAAGTTAGCTCTCAAACTTTCGAACCGGTTTCTAGACATCGTCTCCGTCACACCCTTCTGCCCTAAAACGCGCTTTTCGGACCAGAAATCTTTAATTCCGGTTAGCGGTAGGATACCCATCGCAATCTCGAGGCCCACAATGTACGAACTCCGCCACAGTCACCTCGGCCTTGCGGATCTGAAGCAGTCGCGTGTTTGTCCTCCCTTTAAGCGTGCCTCTATATGTTGCACTGAAGAAGAGACCGAAGAGGCCAGCTTGCTGTCGCTCTGCGTATGCTCGTCGCACCTGCCCCTCATGTGCAAGGTGTAGGCCGCTCTCGTTGGCGATACTAGATACGTAGACATTTTGCATACGTCCATCAGATACAGATTGATCAGCAGTTGCAGTGAGGGCATCGGTAGCGTCAGCCTTCTCCTCTTCGTCGTTCAGGTATGCCGAAAGGTGTAACGGGGTACGTAGCACTAAGTGTATCCCTAGTTACATGAAGTGTGACACGTCATACTTCGGGATATTTGGTACAAGGTACCAAGGTCGTCCAATGCCAATCATTGGCGTTGGACATTGCTTTTCTATAGGTGACTTATAGTTTGTATTTAACTTAACCTTAACCTACCTATAAATATACTCAGTTTACAATATACCTTAAATTGGTCACTTCGCTCCCTTTTGGTAAAAGGGGACCGGTGAACTGCCGTTCACTGAGAGTTTGTATACTCTCGGAAGCCAACTTCCTCTAGCGCAAGGTGCTGTGTGACCCCGTCACAAAAGAGGTGCCTTATCGTGGTCGGTGTCAGCATCGACCCCCCAGCCCCCTACGTCGTTGTCAGCTGCATTCCGCAGCGGCTCTAAATCCATTAGTCGGTGTGGGGAGATGCGTGTCTGTGGGAAAAGGAGAGGAAATGAGAATGGCATGTCGCTGGACGTTTTTGTAGCTACTACGGTACTGCAAACTTGTGGGTTCTTGGACGTCTATTAGACTGTACAGTGTTTTGTTGTCGCTTGAAAATTTCAGTTTTGAGCAATTGCGTCCTCCTATCATCAATCTTTCGAGTCTGTGTGGACCTATACTGTGTCTCATTGTGCTGGTAATGAAAGAGCTATCTTTCAGAAAAATGAGAATAGCTCTCTATTGGTAGGGTCATAAATTCAAGTTAAGGCGCCAGAATTCAAAATGTAATAACGAGGTGAGGAAGCATGCTGGTTTAGAGAGGCGGGAAATAAACATTTCTAGCCGTGCAAGCCCGCATCCTATATCAACTGCGCGACAGCATCGTTAGAGTTTTTCGAACTCCTTTAATGTTGGTATTAGCACAATTACGGTTCAATTTGCAAGAATAAAGAGCTCGATGCGATCTGCCCAAAACTAGCCTTTTTTCGTTCTTATTTGTCAGATTATCTAAATTTGTGGCGTTACAACTGAATAGCGTGAAGGGTGAAAAAAAATCTGCCGCAAAACAGGCTCTTTAATTGTGAAAAAATAGGGCGAAGAGGGGCGAGCGTTTTTCCGGTATCCGCATCAAATCCATCTTATTTTGCCTCCAACAAACCCAAATACAAACAGAAGGAGAGGCATTTGATGCAAATAAAACCCAAGCATCTTAACAACAGTGGTTGAAAATGAAAACCATTTTAAAAGCTCATACAAGAGAACTTGAACGCAGCTCAAGCTGTCAAGAATAAAAAAAATACAGAGCGTCACATACGATTTTTTAAGTTGCCGAAAAACTTCCAAAGTCAATTTAGTGGCTTGCAGATTCTGTATCAAATACGGAGGACCGTCGAATTAAACGAAAGAGAACTGCGTAAGCGATTTTGACTTTCCCAAGCGAATGCCTATGCAAGCCGAGGGATCTCCCACAAGAGGCCTGTCAATTTGTCGACGTTGTAGATTTTACCATCAGTTGTGCTGTTGACGACATGAGAGCTGAGCATCATCAAAATATGATGACCAAGACCAAGACACAGCGTCGCAGCGACTCCCATCCTCGACCATTGTCCTGATTACCACTTAAGCACTCACACCACAAAATTCTTCAGCTGGAAACCTACCTGGACAAGAAAGCATGCGTCTCCTCGGTCTCCTGGTGCTCGTTATATCCGTCCTTGCTGGATATTGCTATGACCTCGCTACAGCAGGCACAGCTGATCAGGCTGTTACCTTGAAAACAGCTTCAAAGCTTGACGACAAGGCACATCGCTACCTCAAGGGTGACAGCGAGGAGTTAACAGCCATTGAGGACGAAGAACGAGGAGGCCTAGAGAGACTCAAAAGTCATTTCCGGAAGTCTCCATCCCTCGACAAACATGACCCAAGTAGTGAAGCCCTCAGATCTCAACAAAGCGAAAGCTGCATTGAAGGATCCTGAAATCGCGAAAATGAAGAATTTAGCGGGAAAAGTTGAGCTAACAAGCCGGGATGCTAAACGTGTGCGGGCAATATCGGTAAAAAATCCTTTACGAGGATTGAACCTGATCGAGAAGTTGATCGCGATTGCCTCGATAGGTTTCTTGGTCGGTGGGTTTGGTTTTCTCATCGCGATGATCGTCCAAATGCTCAGCGCTGATAAGAAATAATTCGGGCGCAAAGTTGAAATTGGCATCTAACCAACATTCTAACAAACACACCGGATCTTTTTTTAAAAAATAAAAAAATCGATGACAGAGAATAACGCCCAAGTACTGTAACTCATATTACGCCTTGGCCGCTTCAATCGCCTTTGGGCCAGCATTTTGACGCAGCAAGTACAGCACGCGCATGGTGTACTTGGTAATCTGCTCCTTAGTCATAACCAACAGAGCGCTCTTGAGCACCGTGTTAAAGAGCTGCGCCGAGCAGCCCTTGAAGTAGCCACTCGGGCCTTCCAGCTCGCCAATACGCTTGAGCACCTGCACCATCGAGTTGCCCATTTCGGCGTGATGGTGGCCATGTGGGCTCTTTTTCTGTCCCGTAATGTGTTTTTTTTGGGCCTGCATCAACACCTTGGCACGGATCACAGGGTACGTGATGATCGTAGCCACCGCTTTGGCGATAGCGGCCAGGATAAACGCCTCCAGTGCTGTCAAGGAGCTCATGCGCGTGGCATTGGTAGCGACCATCTTTGAGTGCTGCAATTGCAGCTTCAGCTTGTCGAAGATGGTGTAATTGATGGACGGGTTGCTCACGAGCACCAGAGAAGGGATGAACCCCTTCCAGAAGGACGTGAGACCGTCTTCCGCGTAGATTTCCTTGGCGATACCCCACATTGTGCGGCTCGGAGGTGTCGTGTCCTTGTTCTTCTCGTCCGAGTCACTAGACTCGTCATCACTGGGCTGGATCTGAGCCCGAGTGTTGATCATCTCCAAGGGGAGAGTCATCGACATGTTTAAGGCTCCAGCAGTGGAAGCCATAAGCAGACTCATGCCCGTAGTTATGGGCTTACTCGAGTGTTTCTCTACTGCTGTCTTGAGGAACGAATACCAGTAGAAATACGCAAAATTGGACGACACAGTGTGCACGACCTTCGAGCTGAGACCAGCGAAGATACCTTCGACGCCTTCCTGACGGTAGATGAGCCACACAGCAGCGAGGAGGTTGTGGGCCTTCTTCTTGCGCAGTTCGATGGCCTTATTTTTGGCTTCTTCTGTCTCCTCCTCCTTACTGTCGTCCACATCTACTTGACGACGGGTCTTCACTACGTCCAGTGGGTACAGCAATACAGCAGCGAAGAGTGCGCCCATGGCACCGGCCTGGAAGATAATAAAAAAATAGCATTGTGAGTCAGTTATAGTGATACTGGATTGCGTTACGCTTCCTTCGTCGTAAAGTTACGACGATATGGGAGAGTTTCGTTGACTTTGAGGTACGTACGGAGGCGTCCACGAAGGCCTTGAAGGCGGGGGAGGTCGGGCTCTTGTCGGCCATTAGCTGGAGATCTTGAGCGCGAGCCAGTAATTGCGCGAGTGTTGACTCGAAGTTGCAGGTCCCGTCAGATTTTCATCAAGTTTGACGGGGAAACATGCCCTGTGCAATATGATTAGCGGGATAGACAGGGAATGAATCTGCGACATGCGTCGAGGTGATGGGAACACCAATTTGCTTGGTGCATGATCGACTCGAAGACAAAGGCTCTTTGGCACATTAATGGAGAGCAGACCGTATGCTTGTCGTATGTGGGGTGCTGCGAAATTTTGATGGGAAGCGCGCTGTGCTGTTGTCAGGCTGGCAGTGTCTGCATACCAGTACATGAACGAGCAGGTTTTACCGGTAGGACTGGAGCTCACAGGAGCCCCTCGGCCACTGCGATCTGCTTCAGCATTGCTCAGACGGCGCGAAAGAATGCCGATGCAGTGACTGGCGAGCTGGAGTTGGCAAGGAGAAATCTTTTGAGCGAAAGAGAGCTGGACCCGTACACTACTGAAGTCGTGCAGTATATGAGCAAATAGCTGGTAAGCCGAACTTCATGTAGTGTTACCTGCAGCGCTCTTAATATCTATAACAGATCTCCTCGATGGTGTCGCGGACTGCTGAGCTATGCATGTAAGACTAGTTTCAGGACCCGCTGCTGAAGAGAGCATCAACCCGACGTTATTTTTTTCAGTACGTAACTCTTACTTTAACTAAGTTAAGCAAACTTATTGGTCTAAGCTGAAGTGGTGCAGGTGTGGGTCTCCGTTGACTCCTGCACATTGCACGTGTAAGTTAGATTTTTACTTCGAGCCAGGTTTTTGCATTACATGTAGTTTTCTTCTGGTGTACGTATCCGTTACTGTACCGGTACACCACTCTCCTAAAACTGACGTCATACAGTACTCATTTATTGTCCTTTTTATTTGAAGACACCACGGCGTGTCCACTTTGTGGAGCTAAGAGTGTATAAAATCGGTCTGGAGTGGATTGTCCACTGTCTCTCCGACCTCGCACACAGAAATCCCTTCATATTTGAACGGCAGTGCAGCGAGACCAGAGTACCGGACCGGCCGCCTCAGCTTCCACCCCACGGCCCCCTTCACCACCACCAGCACCATGGTGAGCGCCGCCTCTTCTCCCCCTTGCCCCTCTCTTCGCGGCATTGCACGTGTCCTCCCCCTCGCCTCCTAACACACGCTCTTTCCATCTCTCTGCTCTTAGGACGACCGCGACGATCTCTACCTGATGGAAGAAGGTATAGGCACGAGGGAATGACACATGCGTGAAACAACACTAACTCTCTCTACCACTTGCGTAACGTAGAGCTCGAGGATGGCCGCTATTACGACGACGTAGACGATTTGAGCCCGCAACAGCGACTCAAGCGCGTGCTGTACCCTCCGCGACTCATGGTGGACTTCAAGAGCTTGGGCGTACGTAAGAGTATAGGTCTTCCCCGTATTATTGCTCTAGTGACTGACAGTTGACCTAACGCCGCGCAGGTTGAAGCTCTGAGACGCTATGCCAAGTTCTACCACCTTAAGTTCGACGACGAGGCCGAGAAAGAGGACTTGGCTGCTCAAGTGGCTCGTCACTTCGACATGTCACTGGAAGTGGAGGAAGACGACTCCATCGTCGCCTTCATGCAGCGTCTGCGTAACGGCGAGCGGACGTCGGTCAAGCGCTCGACAGTCCGTGACAAGGAGCGGAAGGCGCAGGCCGCCGCCGACAAGGCCAAGCGCAAGTCCAACAGCCACAAGCGCCAACGTGACCACTCGGTGTCGGTCTCGTCCGGCCGCAACACGACCAACAGCTCGGGTCACAACACGAGCAACGGCAACGCCAACAGCTCGTCCACTCACGGACAGGGCACCAGCCACTCGAGCGGATCCACTAACGGCCACAGCGGACGTGGACACGGTGAAGGACGCAAGGCTCCACCGAGCAACTCGAAGCCTTCCAACGCGTCCACTGGCAAGAACAAGAAGACGAAGAAGGACGCAGACACGGGCGAGGACAACGAACTGTATTGCATCTGTAACCTGCCCAGTTACGGTAATATGATCGCGTGCGACGGGAAGACGTGCCCCAACCCGTCGCAATGGTACCATCTCGAGTGTGTGGGTCTGGCGGACGGCCGCCATCCGGACACGTGGTTGTGTCCGGAGTGCGACCCCAAGGGCTTCTCCGGTGGCTCCTCTCACAGCCACAAGAAGAAGAAGAACAAACGCTCCAAGTCTCCTGGCAACAAGTAAAAAAAAAAAGTTCTTCTCCAAAGCGTGACGTCGCGAAAGAAAACACCAGCTGCCGCGTGATGTTCCCTTTCGACGTTGCACCCAATACTGCTTGTCTTCGATTCATTCAAATATAGCTATACTGTTGATCGCTTATGCTGTGTGTTATGCTGTATTCGACAGTGTAAGATACGAGCTTAACCTGAAGCTAAAGCAGTCTTTTGAAGCCATCTTGTCGAATTGCGCTAATCGGTATTTTCACTGGACGTTTTGTCGTCACGTTGCATTGAAGAAGATGGCTACATCCGATCTTCATGCGAAGGCCCAGAGCTTGACCCGCTTGTCTGCGCCTGAGGACACGAATGCTGGTTCAGTTGGATGCCATTGTGCTTGCAATACCTTTCCGGAATGTTTGTGGTAACTAGCGACAGGCTGTAGCGATGAGCTGGAGACTTGCATGATGCAAAGTGTACCGTCGAAAGCGGCACTGAGCAGCCACTGGCCTCCAGGAGACCAGCGCACCGATCGACATTCGTTTTGGTGGGACGCAAGAGTCTGTAATGCCTCTCGTGCGGTAGATCGCAGATCCCATAGAGAAATGTTGCCGTCTTGGTGGCCAGAGACTATCCGAGTATCATCATTTGGGTGGAAATCCAGTGCAAAGGCAGCGTGGACTCCAGACGTCACCAAACGCTCGCAACGTCTACTGCGAGTGTCCCACAGTCGAACCGTTTTATCGAGGGCTGCACTAAGCAATAAGGTACTTGGCGACGCTGACGTTGAAGGATACGGCATAGCAATCGTCTGAATCTCCCCAACATGACCATCAAGAGTCTGAAAGGGACTCGATTTTGAGCTCCTATGAGCTCGCTGAATATCCCAACAACATAAGCGACGATCGTTTGTTGACGTAGTCCATAGTAGATGAGACGACGAAAATTTCAGTGCTCGAGTCTTGCCCATAGCTCCGTTAATGTCGCCTCGTTGTATCCAGAATTCGTCGACTTGTTGCCTCTGTACTGGATCTCTAACCGTCGTTACCAACACCTTCACGGACCCATCGGCTGCACCTGATGCGATCATCGAAGTGGCATTGGAATTGCGTAAATGGTGATTGTAGGCAACACAATAAATCCCCGAGTCATGATGCTTGTGTCTTTCAAGGGAGACAGGGAGTAATGGTAATATCGAGTTAAGCGGAGAAGACCAGGATAATTGCTCTTGTCGCTGCTGTAACGGGGTTGATAAATTAAAGACTCGTAGCGCACGTGCATTAGTACCGACAGCGAGATGGTTTCCAGTTGGATGCACGTCCAACGCGCGTACGGCTTGGGGCTCTTTGACTTCAGCAATTACGTCAGCACACACCACGTGGTCAAGTTTGAGCTCATTGTAGTGCTGCGGTGGCCTCTTCGGCATCGGAATTTCAGCATCAAAAACTGATTCGTCAATCAAACCTTGTTGTTCTAAGTCGGGTGAATCAGTGAGCATTTGTGGCTGCACAGGCTCATTTTCTAGGTACGAGTTCAACTGAAGACTGCTCGAGCTTTGTTGAGTCCAACTGGCCGTATCGTCCTTAACGGAATTGCTAGTGAGAACTTGCTGGGTTTGTTTCTGTTCACCTTGTTGTAGGTCTTCAAAGCTAGTTTGTGTTTCCACTGCAACCACATCGTTACCTTGCAATCCGTTGTTTTTTGTTTTAGCGTTCGTTGCTATTGAGTTGTTAGTTACGTCGCCGTCGTTGCTATCTTCTAACACCATGTTGTTCTCATTAAAAGTATCGGTCTGTGTGGCAACATCGCTCCACTCATTCGGCCCACAACTAACAGCGACACCGGCAGTCTCCTTCTTTTCTGGCGTGCAATTTACCCCAGCGTCTACAGTATTTTTAACATCCAATGCACAGCTTACAGTCACGTCAACCATTTCCTTCAAGTCTAGCTCGCAGTTTACAGCAGCGTCGGCAGTTTCCTTCGTATTTTCGATAGAATGTCCCTCGTGTTCTTCACCATCCACCTCACCACTGTCTTCTTGCCATTGAACTCCACTCAGATTCATGGATAATGCCAGCAGGTTCCGTTGTCGCTTTTGCCATCTTTCCACCGAATGAGCCACACCTGGAACATCTTTGTCCTCTTCGATATTTACATCAAGGTGCGGTTCATCCAGTATCAACATTTCGCTGTTATCCTGCTCTTCTTTATGCACAGTTTCCACATCAGTACACGACACTGAAATGCAATCTCGAGCTGTATCGCCACTATCCTGCATGTGAAAATATAAGGCGTCTCGTATCAACCCCTTAAGCTGCAATTTCGGCATTGCAACATACTTGAACACGTCGCTTTCGCTCGTATCCACAGGTGCTCGGAACAGTGGTACTAGCGACTCAAAGCACTTCAACTTGGCTTGAGCAAGCCGCGTTGTGTCACCTCTAAATCGAGTCTTGGTCATTATTTCCAGCTCGTCCAGAGCTAACAACGCAGTCTTCAACTCATTCGACACATCGCTAAAAGTCGTCAAAGGCTGCAACAACGCTCGAGCTCTCGTTACGTCTCCAGCGAAAATCCAGCGCCTTAGCAGCGCCACTTCATGCGAGTAGCCGCGTAACCACGTCACATCCAGTCCACTCTCCTCTTGCAACACTAAAGAGCTGGCATAAAGCCCCGCAGCCTGTAGATACTGCGCAACGAGATACAACACGTCGTTGTGCTGAGGCATCGGCGTCGCTTGCCTCAAAACTGTAACCAACTCAATTAGAGATCGACTCTAATAAACTCCAAACATGAATAACCACGATTATACAGCATAAGAATAGCATAAGGATAAATTGCTGGTATGTCTTTAAAATAAAAACATCTTGGTTTCCTGTCTGTCTACATGGTGACAATGCTGCTCTTGGGGGTGTCGGCCCCTGTGCCGCCGCCCAGCTCGCTCTCACCGGCGGCAGCTGTGGCTCCGAACGCTGCAGCTCCCCCAAAGCCACCCGCCTCTGCGTCCTGCTCGCGCTTCTTCTTCCTTGAGTACATGGCGAACATAAGTGCACCGACGATGATACAGGCAGCCAAGATGCCAATAATGATAAACACAGCCGAGCTAGTACCGCCCGAGTCCTCCTCAGACGCCACTGAGCCACTATTGGCGGATGCGGGGTTCACGTTATTATTCGCCACCCCACTAGACCCCGAGGAGAGTGACGACGACGACGAGCTGCTCAGTGAGCCGTCGACGGACGATGAGAAGCTGCTGGACCCTGAGACTGAGCTCGACGTACTACCGGAGTCTGATACACTAGAAGACGCGGAGGTGGACGTGGAGGACGAGCTGGAGGCCTCGGAAGAGCTGGACGAACTCGAAGCCTGCGACGAACTGGAAGGCTTGGAACTAGAACTTTCTGTACTGGAAGAACTACTGGAAGGCTTGGAACTAGAACTTTCTGTACTGGAAGTGCTACTGGAAGGCTGGGAGCTAGACGACGTCGAGCCTGAGCTAGTACTCGAACCGGACTCGCACTTGTCGCCACTGAATCCTTCATTGCACGAGCAACTGAAGCTCGGTGTGCCATCCGCACTAGTCGATAATAAGTTGCATGATCCCTGGCCACTACACTGCACGCCGTTCGCACTGCATCCCGCTAAAACACATTACAAAGTCAGACCACAAGCTTATAATGCGCATCTGTCTCCTAGTCTTACCACTACACGAAGAACCTCCAAAATACTCGTCACACCGTTCGATGGACAGGCATTTGTAGACGCCACTACGTTGGATGCACGCCAATTCCGACGGGCAGTTTCCAGAGGTCGAGTCGCCACACGCGGCACCAGCCACACAGGTCTGAATGGAAGTGACCGAGTCGCCAGCCACGCACGTCTCGCCGTCTGCACAGTCGTCTGTGGTGCTGCAGTTGGTAGCCATGCGCATCGCCTCTGAAGACGAGGGCGTCAGCGCCAACACGAGCAGCGTCGCTAGCAGTCGCATGGGCCTGATTGTATGTCGTCACTTTTGGAATTGGCAACTCGGGCGGCCAAGTTTTTTGGCCAGACGGGAGAGCGGAATATTTGTGCCGCACGTGTCCCATACAATTTCCAAGTTGCTTAAGGCATAAAAAGGTCCGGGACTTATTTTGCAGAAAATAGACAAGAGCAAATCGGGACAGGCTGGGTATTTTCTTTCGAGGCCTCGTTGATAATTTGCTCTGAACTGTGCGTGTTGCTCACGGGCATTTGTGCCTGACTGGAGGCAGTTTTTGTGGATCATAACGGACGCTAGCTCTCTACAGACACGATGAACTTCGAAGAGGTTTTCCTATGTCTATGCAAGGGATCATAAGGGCGCCGCGTTGGTGCAAATAAACATGATTCGCACCCACGCAGCAGCTCGTCCTCGCTGGATTTCGTGGCACCAGAATGGAGGACTCGCTATCAAGTGTTACAGATATATGATTTGTCGATATAAATATTTGCCCGACTGATTGGAGACAAGAAAAAATGTGTGTCTGGCGTAATATTCATTGATACAGGTAAGTATTTTACGAAGGAAGTAATCAACCAAGACTTGCACGAGGAGGAAGATCAATGTGAAAATTCAGGCGTCGATCTGAAGCAAGCGGAGACTTTCGCTGGAGGGCGTCACGTGCTAACGTCACTCGACTGACTCGTCTTCTATCTCTACAGTAGACGCGTTGCTATCTATCGCTCGATTCTTTAGTGTACAGGTACCGGTACCTTCGCTACGGGCCGTAGAGCTTTTGCGCTACAAGAATGTGAATAAAGTGGAATAACATTTTGACTCTATTTGTGATGGGTTGCTCTCGCAACGCCATTTCAAGGTGATACTAGTAGTTTGTAAAGTATGCTCCTTTCCAGGAACATGATCGTACTACATGGTGGCGATGTGGGCTCGCGGTGTACGGCCAGTGTGGCCTGCTGCGAGATCCCTCGCACCCACAGCGCCGACGCCTTGTGTAGAAGCTAGGGCGTTGGCGTACTCCTCCTCTTCCTGTTGTTTCCTTCTACGAGAGTACGCAACCAACAGCACTGTGCCGACCAAGAAGAACGCGGTCATGACGAGTACAAGGATCAGAACACCTGGTCGGATACCGCTATGAGTAGTGGTGGACACTGACTCGCTGTTGGCTAGTTCCCCTGACGACGACGTAGAACGGGAACGAGAGGCGCTGTCATCCTCGGTATCGTCGGAAGGTGACTCGTCCGCATCAGTGGACGATTGCTCGACGGCATCAGCAGACGACTCATCGGACGTATCAGTAGTCGAGTCCTCCGATGCATCTGTGGCCGAGTCGTCCAAAGTGTTCTTGGAAGAGTCACTGGTGTTGTCATCGTCGGATCCGTTGTTTGACGCGTCATCGGAGTCCTGCGCCCCAAAGAAAGAATCATCGTCGTCGTCGGTTGAAGACGTGTTCGTGGAGGTGGAACCAGGTGCAACTTCGCACTTGTCGCCACTATAGCCATTGTCGCACGTGCAACCAAACACGGGCGTTCCATCAGCACTCGATGGCATCATATTGCACGATCCCTGGCCATTGCATCGCACTCCGTTTACGCTGCAACTGTCTGAAGCGAAAAAGCACAAGGAGAAGTTAGCAACTCGTCCTATTCATTGCAGTAAGGTTACATTTTTTTCTGAAACTTACCACTGCAAGACGAACCGCCGTAGTACGCATCGCATCGGGTAATGGATACACATTTATAGATGCCCTTGTTGCCGTTCAGAATGGCACAACCTTGACTGCAGTCGTCGAAAGGTCTCCAGAGACAAGCGAGTTTGCCCGTGTCATCCGACGGACAGTTGCCCATCGAGGAGCCTCCGCACACTGTGGGCGGTACACAGGCCTGAACGGACGTGTCTGCGTCGCCAGCCACGCAAGTTTCACCCCAAGCGCAGTCCGCAGTGGTGGTACAAGTGATGGCACTTTGAACAGCTTCCACGGAGCCCTGCAGAGCCAGGAAAACCAGCGAGGAAACTCCAACAAGCTGCATATCGTCACCAATCCTTCGTTCACGGAGATTTCGGTACTGAGCCTGGACTCCAGGCTCAGTACCTCCAGGGCCAAAGATTCGGAAGACTGCTGCGATAAGCTTTTCTAGACGCGGTGAGGAAGAAGACACGGATCATGGAACTTTCAGTGTCCGCACGTGTTCGATACAAAACATCAGTATCACGAGCAGAACATGGTAGCCATGCCGCAAAAACTAGCCAAGTCAAATCTTGCAATTTGCCTGGAGCGCGTGCCCCCGAAAACCGTCAAAGTTGTCTTTCTTTCGAGGCTTCGAGCTGGCTCCGGAACTTTCACAATTGAAAGAATCGATCGCTCTAGCAGCGGCAAGCGAGAGCAAAGACGACCCAGCACCGCACGAGACTACTTCAATGCCTTGGCCTATTTTCGTGCGAAGCAACGGAGTTACCGCGACCCACCGGAGACTGCAGCGTTGATGTCCTATAGGACATCTTGTGTTACAATAATTTGAAAGATAGAAAAGTCTGATTTTCTCAAGAATGGAAGTGAGTATTTTGCCCGACTGGCCAACCGACTATACAATTATCCCAACATGCATAAAATGGACTTAGCCGACGGTCTTGGAAAGTTTCCAGTGTTTCCAATGGAAACACTCGCTCGGAATTAATTTCTAATCCCAGACACAGCGCCTTGCCGAGTCGAGGACTTAGATGCCGGGGTGGGGCAGGTCGCGCAGCGGCGCCCCCCCCCCCCCGAGCGCAGCGCAGCAAGCGAAGAGAGGGGCGGGCCCACGGCTATAAGTCCGCAGATGCAAACGCGCTAGTGTCCTAACTTTACTTCAATTTAACCGTACTATACTATCTGTACACGTATAAAAGTCGATGCTATTTTACCTCAGTCGGGCAAAATAACGAGTGCCCTCGATCGCTCATCCGTTGCGGTACAGGAACAGCGAAAAGAGCCGTTTAATACATGTATCTCTGGACACTGTACATTGTACAGTACCGTACAGTTCAACGGGCAAGGCCCGCACAAGTACACGACCTCGGGAAAAATTAAAGTTCATGTTCAACATTGTGCATTTTTTTTAATTTTTACTAAAATAAGCATTCTTGGTTTCTTTCTTATCTCCTAGGTAAAAAATCGAGTAGTGTCGAGATCAAATTGGTTTTAAAAAGGTTGGGGACCCGAATTAAAGGTCCGGGAGGTCGCAGTTCTCAGACGATGCTGTGTTGTTTTGGATAGAATATTGTTGTGTTTGCATTAGCAAAAGTTGTTTCCAGGAAGTACGAGGACTAATATTATAAGAGTAAATTAGATTCTGATTAAGAGCGATTAATTTTGAAGAGAGCAGCATTGAAATATTAATAGACATAGAACATATTCTGCCACACAAAGAGCTATCCAATCGAACAGAATAACATCGGAATAGCCAATCAAATGAACGTTGGAAGTAAAATCATCTTATCACACACTACAGCTACAATTTATCAAGAGTGATAGCATTTTGCATAGCCCTTAAAACGGACCTCCATTTTAAGTGTGCATATAGTAGATTAGCTGGTGCACGAGATGATTGGCCAAAAGACACATGCACACAAGAATACACACCAACACGACGACAACTGCTACCGCGCGAATGGCTCCTCAGTACGTCTGGACCAGTCTAGCCAAGAAGCTCAACACAGTTGTCGTCAGCCGCTGGCTACATCGATCTAAGTCCTTCCGGACGCCGACGAGCCACGCTGTACGTGTCAACTATGCCCTATCAACAACGACAGCCACACCATGAGATACCAGCTGCTTGAGTGTACATGCACGACCTGCAAGGCAGTTCTGGGAGATAAATGGGGATGGCGGCTGAGGATTAGGACATGTGAGACATCACAGCTCAGCAGCACGGCCGACACCTCGCTGATGCTGCCTCTCCTCGTAAACTTAATATGACACGAGAAATGAAGTCGTATGTGGCGCCGCTAATTTCTTAAAGAATGAATCTAAATCGTATTCACAACAACGTGCCTGACATAAATAATTACACAGTGGGAGAGTCCCCCGTACTGCGCCAATCGTCAGACACCTTAGTCAAGCACCCCTAAACGAAATCGATTTCGTAGAAGATATGGAGAATCTTATGAAGAAAACCCAGTTTACGTCAGACGTGCAGGATGGTGATGCGCTCTCGCGTGGCTATGGGGTCAACGAGGATGGAACATCGCTATTGGAGAGGGCGTGGATGGGACCCCGACCATAGTTGGAATGTCTACACCGTACATGGTCAAAATGGTTCGCAACGCGTGCTGCATACTGACACGACCTATAAGCTGTACAAGTCAGGCTACCCCGTACTCGTTATTGGTGTTTCGGACCAGGCTTCTTCCTTCCACCCGATGGCAATGTTTGTGACATTCTACTAGAATGGGGATCTCATAAACACATCGCTTCATAGTCGGTTCGACGGTTTCAAGGCGATTACTGGTGACTACTACGATATTCGCTACTGTAAGGTCGATGCAGATAAGCCTCAGTACAATGCAGTCTTACTTTATTCCAAGCGAAGCAACCGCAACAACGATGCTTTGACATTTTTGATATGTTTTTTTACGTCGTCAAGATCGTGAGGGACCGTGTCTCAAGTTTTCGTATTGAAGTAGTGAAGCTGGTGTTCATGTACCTATACACGGTGCATTATTCGCGTGATGCGGCAGAGTTTGACACATGAAAAGAAGCTGCTCTGACAGCGTGGAAAGTGTATCCAGCTTCACAACATACTTTGAGAAACAATGGACCAATTCTCCATTCTGCAACTTGGAATGCTATATATCACACACCGACGGAATTTGCGACAGCAATCAACCCCGTAGAGCAGTTCAATACCGCGATCAAGAGGGACTACCCTCTGAGAACCATTCTTAAGTTGATAGCAATCGCAGAGCAGCCGACCTTAATGTGTCGTCACCGGTCAATGGGCACGTTCTTATTCGCTGCGAAATCGAAGCCAAACCGAGACATGCCAGATCGCTGCAAATATCTACAAACAAGTTGCCGGCTAAGCGTCATTCAGCCGCACAAAAACGCGTTGGATTTTCTACTTGATGTCCCAAACGAAGCCCACATAGCCTATGTCTACCAGCTGGGAAAGGTGCCTCGATCTTCACGTGTACGGAGAATTTTTATGGCAAGCGTAACAAGCATCGCTTGGAATTAGCCGAGCAACCAGTTGGAGGGTGGAAAGTCGACATGGAGTAAAAATCTACCCGTGTCGATCTTGGTACAAATACCGATTGTGTGTTCATGCACTCGCTGCCTTGCGTAAAAAAAAAACGTTCCTGGTGAGAAACAAGCCAAGAAGCGGTATGTCAACAGAGTTGTAAGATGAAAGGTCGAGCTGCCATGATCGTTCATGCACTATCCCACGAGTAGAGATAATCTTAGGTGATCTCATCGAATTGTTTTCTTGTTACCCGTTCCATGTCAGCATCACCAACAGTAGTAATTTAGCTGCCTCTAGTGCCTTCTGACCCTGACAGCGATGGCGCTGCCTGCTCTTGATTATTTCCTCGAAACGTTTAAGAAGAACACTTTAGATGTTAGCTTACCGGGGCTTACGTAGGCTACGGCGTCTCATTTTACTACGCTCATCTCGCGCAACCTACAAGCGCAGAAGGTACCTCCATCTAGCGCGCTTCAGTAGCGCCGAATCAGGTGCCGCACAAATCTTTTTTTCGGTAGCGTGAACGCACAGCTCAAGTATCTCGACCTCGTCGCGAGGTTCACCTCAATAAGTCCAGCATCACTGTAACTCCAAAACCTTGCGTACAGTTGCTTGCTCATGCGGCTTATCAGAAAACACTCTTCTTGCGCACCACGTTTATCGCCTTATAGTTCCTGCCGTGACCACACATACCCTTTGACTGTCTCGTCTCTATGTCGCCAGCAATATACCCAAAAGCGAGAGTCTTTGATGCTGTAAAATCCGCTATGACAAGCCTCTCAGTTTATCTTCTTTAGTTAAGACCATAATAAATGAATGGGTGATATTGGGGTGATATCGCCTACTGTACTGTGTTATATGCCACAGTACTGTCATTAAAATGATGATGCTATTACTCTACGCACGGTACTATCTAAAAATTCATGGTACATACTATAGTACCGTGATTATAGTTGAGTACCGTAGATTTAATTGTTTGTGCCAGCAACCATTACGTGGTAAACTTGTTTACAGAAAGAAGGTACTGTGTCTGTCCACTACGAAATTTGTTTTTTTTTCGCTACAGCTACCTTCCGCGATACCTTCCCCACACGCTCGAAGCAAGTTGCACCGCCGAATACACGTTATGTTTACCAGAAACTCCACGTAAAATTGTTGATCCTTCCCTTCTTCGTACTACCGGTCGAAGACCTGGCGCTCCCGACTGTCTCCGAGCACTCGCAATACGAAGCAGTGCTTGAGTCTTCCATTATCGGTCGCCCCAACCACGTAAACACCAGTTGAAGCGGATAGCTTCTGAGGCCCTCCACGTTGCTGACTGAAGAAATGACCATGTTCTCTGCAAACACATTACACGCTAGTTTGACACGTCACTCTCGCAGGAAGGCCAAGAACAGCTTTGGGTCTCCAGTAGGCACCCCTTCTTTTAATCCTTTGGCTTCTTGTTTATCTTCAAACTCTCCGATGAGCGAGCACGGGACGAGATCGGGGCCCCCAGCAACGTGACAGGCAATACGAATTGCCTTAAAAAAACACTTTCCGTCTTTCGATGCAGTGTGGGTCGATGGGAACTTCTTGTTCAGCTCAGTATACATTAGGTTGCTAAAATGGTCCTTCCACTTGCTCATCATTTCCGTAACAAACCCCTTGGAACAGCGTCGACGCCCATACCCACGTCGCGCCAAAGCGGTGTTCGTCACCGCACCATTGCACCAAATACGCCTCTTTCTGTTTGTCATAATTGGATCGATCCAAATTTACTAACACTACCCAGCGAACGCTGGTGTCGTACATAGCACCTGCCGCCGCGATGTTCCGTGCCTTAGTGACTGGGTGGTATTCCGAGGGATTCGGTAGCATTAGCTTTGGAGACGGTAGCGATAGTGAGTTGTCTACTGTAGGTGAAGGCATCGGTTGACCTTGTTCCATCTCCCCATCAGTATCGACCACGATAGCATTGCTCCTCTGTCCACTTACGATACGACCGTAGTCGACGGCGACCAACACAAGGTACATCGCCATCAGTGTCGTATGACGAGCTGGTAGAATCTATCTCTATCACAATGAGAGATGAAGTCACTCCGATTGGTTGGTGAATATGATTTTCGGTAGATTTCCCACCGTCTGACACTTCTATCATGGACGTACACGTGGCAGGCACCAAGATACCCGCGGTCTCCGCATCCGTAGCTGCTGATCCGCTTACTTTAGGCCTCTCATTTGTTTTGTCCGCCGTATACAGCACTCGTGGCAGTAGAACTTGCTCCAGGGCTGGGGCAGTTCGTCCAGGAGCTGGTTCTTAGTGCTAAGCATCAAGTCGTTTTCGCTGGGCCAGCGCACTGCTTTTGGAGCTGGTAACTCAAGCCTGGCCACCTCATCACCTAACACCTTTTCATCTAGTCCGTCCAATAGCGCGATCCACCTCTCCCCCTCCTCAACAGCGTACGAGGTGTGGTGAATGAGAAAACCAGGAAGTGACATTGGCGCTAATGAAGCACAAATTCAGCCAAGATGCGTTGATCTAGCATCATTAAAGGTGAAACCTAACTGACTACCAAGTTGGGTACAGTGCAGAGGTCGCAAACGTAATTTTCGGTTTACCGTACCCGTCCGAAAGCCATGGTCATCGAGGTTCGAATGACCATGGCCAACTGTTCGGATCGTTCGGACAACCATGGCTGGCTGAAATTAGCGCTCGGTTAGCCGAAAATTACGTGTAATTTATGTATAGAGTGTGGTACTTTTACTTTAAAGATTTGAGGGATGCAAATTCTACAATTTGTGACAGGTATTACATCTGATTTGATGTAGTGACTTTGCTCACTACATTTAATGCGGGAATTTTGCTTGTAGGTTAAATTCATGATTCCTTCAAAACTACATGAAAAAGGAGCGTATTCACATGAACGCCTCTATAGCAAAGGCCTGGCTGAGTCTTTTATCAGCAGTGGCGTGTGTGTGTTTCTTTACGATCCTCTCTCTATCTTTATTACGCTTATCCACCGATGTAGTTGACCGTAAGCAAATACGCTGGTACGGCTGCGCAGTGAAATTATCATGTTCCTCGTGAAAAAGTTCCACGATTTCCACCGCCTGGAAATTAGTCTAAAAATCTTTTTCGATCAGGAAAAAAAGTTAGAGTGCCAAGAAGACGATCAATGTCATCTTCGTTAATCTATAGTATAGTGCAGCCTTCACGGGATCAAATTCCATGAATGCTGAAACTGTAGGTGATCTTTTGACATCTTGACAGGGTTCGGGGACTTACCCTGAAGTGTATCGCGGTTTAATGACAGTCTAGGCGGTTTCAGGAGTGATTTCTGTAGCGCGTCGGAATCATGATAAGTGTCACGAAGCTGACCATGAGTAGATTTGTCCATCGAACCCTTCGGCATCTTCAGGTTTTCCTTAGCGTTACCTTCCTCCTGTTGCACGCGCATGTTTCAGCTCCGGAGACGACTCGACGACAAATTTTACGAGTCGTCGTAGCACATGTTTTGTTGTGATCATTGATAATCGGTTGTCGACAGGTATGTAATCTTCGCCTTCGCAGCCACCGAGGTTAGCACCATCATCACCACATATGCATACTAAGGATCCCAGCCGGAAACATCCAGTAAATCGCTACGCTTGTGTTTCCTCTCCACAGACACATCATCTAGAGCCGACAGGGAGCCCTCCGCCAGCGCTTCCTCCACAGTTATCTTTTCTTCTTCGCCGATCATTTCCCTTACGCCATCGAGTCGGTCGCGATTGCATTGGCCCCAAATAAATTGCTCAACTGACCTTCCATACTCCGTCTATGCTCGCGAATCTTCTTCACAAACGTATGCTCCCTCTTCTTCTCGCTGCGATACAGTCTTTCCCGAAATCCTGCGCTCGTCATTAGCCGTGCACGCACTAACGCAAGCTCATTTTGACGTTCGACTCTGTTTCTCGATCGCACAGAGCCAATCCCAAATGCGGTCGTGCTCGTTTATTATCTCTCGCACGGTCTTGTAGCACTCATCATCAATTGTATCGGACTCCTGCGCACAGGCGCACGAGTGAGAATGTTGGTGGCAGCATACGGGGGTGGGGGGGGGTCTTATCGTGCCCATACGAACGCGCTAGCCGTCGGTATTTCGCATAGACCTTCGCTCTCATAATCTGAGGTTGCGATGAAGCTGAGCGGATTGGGGATGCAACGCTTTGGACGCAGAGACCACAAAACAGCCTAAAGTAAATAAGCCGAAAAGCTTAATAGCTTACGTGTGCTACTGCTACTGAAAATACATATATTGCAGTCGATACACACTATCAACAGTGTGACCCGTGGGGAACCTGTACAGGTACCAACGAGAGAGTTGAGCTGGCAGTGCGCATTTTTTTTAGACGACGACACTTTGCCAATTAAAATAACATTATTTAGATATATGGATATGAATATATTTGAAGATTCATTATTTATTAGCGCTATCACGAAGCTACAGTAAATACTTACCGCAACGCTGGGCGTTGCTGTGAGACCACTGTGCAATTTTCCCTTGCTCCACCTATATAAAGCAATGTATACACATATCTCAAGTTATTACTTCGGGGTAAATTAATATTTACAGCCATGGCTAATAGTGAGCTGGTGCAGGTGATAGTACACGCATGTGCATACCTACATGTAGCATTATTACCGGTACATATAAAAACTGTGACAAAATAACTTATCGTCTTGTCAGCCACCACTGGTGGTCCACTTGATGCATAAAAATTAACCTTCTCGCTTGTGTGGTGACCAGAGCGCCACAGCTACGCACCTACACAAGACCGCTACAAAACGTAATTGCACCGGCGTCAACTAGGCAGCTAGACGAGACAAAAATACAGCACAAATATAAATGATCGGTCCTCTTCGCCTCAGCTACGGCCACCATCTTGTCCTTTTCTCCGCATGTAGCGCACATATAATAAGGAATCATCAGCATTTAATTTTCAGCAACCACTGCAGATCCAAAACGTCTTACATGCACATAACTGGTATGTGTTGGCTCTTGTCTGTGTATGCGACGATTGCCGTGTGATACAACCACAACAAAATTTTATATCTAAGCGACACAACGTTTCGGCTATTGCTATTTGCACAGTGTCCCACCAGGTGGTCAATGCAAAGAAGGTGAGCTAAGCACCATTTTCGGAAAGTTTTCGAAGGATGTGAATTCTCTTTTGCGTTTATATCCACGCGAGACCGATTCCCCTGACTGAAACCTGTGAAGCTAATACATGTACAAATTGGTAGAAAAATAAGACCTGCTCATTTGAAACTTGTATTGAGTCGATTCCCACTATTGGTGTGTGCACATAATCTCGAATTAACCCCTAAAGGCATGTACGTACTACTACTCGTAGCACTACCAGGACAATCTAGTATACTTCGGTATCAACTTCTGCAAGTCACAACGACAAAGGATATTTGTTTTTGTTTCTGTGTTAATAAATCCTTTGAAAGGCATGGTAAGACGCACAGATGTACAGCCCCCCCCTTTTATTTCCCTAAGTACAGGCGCACTGATAGCGACTGACCTTCGTGCCTACGTAAATAGCAGGATTCCGACTCCAGCTCCAGCGAAGACTTGGAGAGACGCCTGCATAATATTTACGAGTGCAAGCGAATCGTGAATTTGAAAACTGGTGACCCATATACGTACTGTAGTTGTAGAGGCTTTCTGTTTGCCTTCAAAGATTTGCAGCATAGCTGCATAAGAGCGTATCCGCTTTAACGGGGTATAAGGAGATAGTACTACCTCCGCTCGGAAAAAGATAACCATTTCAAATTATATTACAACCCACCCAACAAAATACCCTCTCTATGCCGATCATTTTTTGGATTTCGAATCTCCCGCGCTTTCCCGACCAGACTGGCTCCCGCTCCCAGCTTTCATTTTGAAAGCTGGCATCTGGGGGACATCACAGACAGTGAGCGCCAGGCCGTCTGGGAGACCTTACTGCTTCGCAGCGTGGGAGAAGTGGTCAAACATGGAGAGATCGTTCGGGTTGCAGCGTACTTCCGTGTGGGCCGCCAAGTTGTCGAACGAATTTGGAGGCGTGGAATCAATTCGATGGGAGATCGAGTAGCAGCCGTGGTCAAGTCAAGGAAGAGCGCATGTGGTAGGAAGAAGGTGGATCGAGCTGAGCTGTGCGAGAGAATCGCTGCAGTTCCTGTCAATGAGCGCGAAAACCAGCGTCTGCTTCAGCGCGCGTCCAACATGAGCTGAAACCTGGGTTCAGCAGCTGATCAAGGAAGGCTACATACGGCGTGCGCTCAGACAGACCCGTCCACTACTTACACCCACGCACAAGTTTGCGCCGCTCCGGCACAAGGACAAGCAAGTACGTGCTGGCACTCTCCTTAGTCACTGCCTTGTGACGCTATCTCACTCGCCAATGCTAACGCGTACATGCTGCTTCTTTGAGCGAGCAAGCACCCCCACGTACTACCGCTTAAGGTATCCAAAAGCCCCTCTGCGCCCTCGCTACAGAAGTGGAGCGATGTAGTCTCCATCGTTAGAACCCGTTTTTGATATCGG